TACCATTGATTTCTTTTCCAAACCGATACCAAGTAAAATTCATTGTGGCATCGACGATACTATTCTGATACTTTGTACAAAAAGTTAAAGTTAAAAAGTTAATTATAACTTCAAAATGATTACAGGACATCAGAATACTTGTTCTTATTGTTTAATTATAAAGAGTTATCATATAGAAATAAAAAACCTGACGTTGTGTGTTAATTGATGCTGTTTAAACACATAGATCTTGACATTTAACATGTATATACTTGCCTGGACTTTTCAACAAAAACATTCAACATTCACACTTCCCCTCATTCACAGTAGTCCTGTGCCACATCACAAATTTTGGTATCAGTCCAATACCAAATAAATACAGGGCCAGAATTGCAGATATCAGTACCAATAATTTTAAGTTATTCAGGCAGTTTATTGGGGGAGAGTAGTGTGCCATGACTTATGAGATGAATTCTCAATTTGCAAATTCTGAACACATTTTAATCAGCGCTATATCACTGCGATTGTTACTTTCCACAATAATTAGTTAACACAACACAACACACCAGCTTTTCATGTGTTTTGAAACTGGGTTTTTGGAGACCTGGGATGTTAAATAACTAACACAGTTCAGTGGGCTACATACTAAACTTGAAAGAAGCAAAGTATTGTTACAGTCATGCTAGTATCGTTTCAATACCAGAACCAGTGTTGGTATCGTTACTATCGATATTTGGATCGATCCACCCACCTCTAATTCTTACAGTTCACTCAAAAGACTCTGAAAACAGCTCACTTTGCTGTTTTAAGAAAATTTAAGGGGACCTGTTATGCTTATACTCCTTATATCTCCTTATTATTTGTCATTTACACTGTTAAAGTGCTGGATGCTCACATCCAGAGTTTCAAACAGTGAGGTGAGAGTAGACTATATGAATAAAAATAGTGGGCCACACCTCTTAATCTTTGAGTTTACGTGTACAAAATCCAGCACATAGATACGCAGTCTGCCTTTATTAACATTCAGGGAAAAATGAGTCGCTCTAAAGAGGTCACTGAATTCCAGCGTGGTGCTGTAATTGGATGCCACCTCTAAAACGAGTCAAGTTTGTGAAATTTCTTCCCTCCAGCATTTTCCATGATCAACCGTAAGCGGTGTTACTGCAAACTGGAAACGTTTCGAAACCACAGCAGTTCAGCTATGCAGTTACAGACCACGCAAAGATCCAGACCGGGGTCAGCAAATGCTGAACCACCAACGTTTTGCTGACTCAATAACTGCAGAGCTCCAAACCTCCTCTGACATTATCACTGGCACAAAAAAATTGTGCACCGGAAGTTTCTTGGCATTGATTTCCACGGCCGAGCAGCTCGTGTAGGTGTAATGTGTCGGTGGCTCAGTGCTTCTGTCCATACATCTATGTGCAAGTAATCCCTGTGAGCCAAAAGCCCAGCTTCACCCTGCACTAAAAACCAAGTTCCAGACATTTTTTTTCTCATTTTGACTCTGCGTGATGTCACTGTGATAGAAGGGACAGTTCACTGCTGTAGGCACAGAAGCCCCACCCCTTTCCTGTTTAAACCCTCTATTCATGAGGGACAGCCAATCAGAAGACAGCTGTCTTAAAACAGCTTGTTTCATGCAAAATAAAGTTAGACCCAGTGTCAGATAAATAAGGATTATTTTTAACTGAGACTTATGCAAAGCTACTGTAGTAAAAGTGTAAAGCTGGGAATGAGCACAATGTGTAAACTTTGAAGTAAATAAATGGATTCGTTGAATAAAGCGTCGAAGAAAAAGCACTTAAGCCAACCTGGGGAGAGAAAAGTTTCATTTAATCCACCTGAAGTGAAACATTCAGATATCTATAAGCTTTTTTCTTTCTTTTCTTTTTTTACAACAGCACATCCTCAAAGGGTTGACTAGAATATTGTTTGAAGTATCCAGTTACACAATTTTATTGCAGGCGATATTTCCTGTGGTGTAACACCAGTGAGAGTATAAAAACCACTGGCCCACTTAATACTTCTATAACTGATGTTGTTGTCACAGCCTCATACCTACTGGGACTGGACTGCTTCCTATTCAGCTAAAACTTTACTGTCAAGCAGGTTTTCAAAACACATGCATGCATACATTTAAGAAAAGTCACAGAGAGAAGATCTGCTGCAGATGGAGCTTTTTTGTTGTTGTTTTCAGACACAATCACAATAAAATTCACAATAAAACCTCAGGAATGACTTCTGTGCTATCACGCATGACCTCACTAGCTACATTCACACACAAACAGTGCAGACGTGCACACACACACACACACACGCGCGCCCAGTCGCTGTCTGTCTCGCTCTCACACACAAACCACCGGCATACCAGAGAGTCTATATTTAAAATGAGCCCTGGGGATGTTTTGTTTTTTTAATTTTATTTTATTTTCAGCTTTTAGACATTCTATCAAAAGTGGTCAATGTGAATACTCGGCTGTAGAGAGAGAGTGAGAGACTCTGAGCGATGATAAACATAGGTATGACAAAATACAACCTCAGCAATGAGTCAACAGCTTTTTACATAAAGATAATGAAGGCACATTCAGCAGAGGAGCATGAGAGTGCGATTATGAAATGTTTGAGCCAGAATAGTTACAAATTTGCTAAGGCTGCAAAATACCACCTTCCAAACTTGCAGCTTTTCCAAATACAGCCCTATCATCCCACGTCTCATTTTCAAAGCCTCTCTTTTCTCCCTCTCTCCTCCCACCACAAATCCCAGAACTTTGAGCACCAGAGAGAGAGGGAGAGAGAGAGCGCAACAGCGGAGATGAGGGGAGCGTTTAAATCTGGCGTTCCGTGAGTGGTCGGGTCGGTGTCTGGAAATCTTTCACATCCTGTTTACGGCAGGCAGATTTCAGCCCGGGACCGCAGAGAGCTGGCGGGTGCCTCTGCCTGGACACAGCTCCTCTCTCTCTCTTTTCTATCTGTTCCCGGCCTCCTTCGCCTAAAGATCTCAGTCAGCCTGCAAACCTTTCCACACCGCCTCCCTCTCATCAACACCATCAAACCTAAAGCAAACACGTCAGCTTTGCCCCCGCTGCCC